ACCACACACACACACAACACACACACACACGCACACACACAACACACACACACACACGCATCTGAACTCAAGTGTTTTCGCTGTCTGCGATAGGGCGAAAGCTGTGCTTTGATTTTGGACCTACTCATCTGGGTGGAATAGGGGCTGTTTGTGGTTCATGTGGCATGGGTGTTGCAATCATATGGTTGACTAAACACGTTGACTAAAAGCACATAGTTCTTATACATACATGACTATTTGCTAAAGCACAGTGCTGTTACACAAATCCATCTGTGTTAGACTGTTAGTGATCATGTGCTAGAGGGAATTCATCAGATTTCCAGCAACTCGTCTGATCGAACTTGTTGGGTGGGTGTGAATGTGTGTGTGTGTTTGTTTGTGTGCGCATCAGCAGGCCGGCACGGAGCCACATATCCGGAGTTTTTAATAATTTTTATCCATCCAATTGCGATCCGGCGCGTTCAGTAACTGGCCTCCAACATGCTAAAAGCTGAGATCAATAAACTGTGCTGGGTGCGAGTTTCACCATCACTGGCAGGTCCCCCCCCCCAAAAAAGAACTGGGAGAGCAGTTATATTTTACGTGCGGAACACTGGCAGATGACCAGCACAGATGGAGGAGAAACAAAGCGTTGCATCAAGAAATGGTGGGTAACGACGGGGAAATGTCAAAGGGGGCGGCACCACAATGGCAATCAACATACGTGCCATGACCATGAGCAACCTCTAACGATCCAAATTCGGAATTCCTCTGAAAGACTAAAAACAAAAAAAAAGACAAAAAAAAAGGTGATCTCCGGCGATGGGGCAACCTCTAGTGATGGAAATTCCACATCTCTGTGACAATACTAAGTGACCTCTGATGTGCAACGACCCCTTTAGACCACCAGTATCGTGTCATTTTGGGGGCGGCACCACAACGGCATCAACGGCCAAGAGGGTTCCTGTTCCTGACGTTAGTTTCTCGTTATTGTAAATGCTTCTTATCTTGCCTCTTTTTTCCCTTTTTGGACCACCAGTATTTTTTCCAGCCATTTCATTCTGCCGTGGCCGTTAACACGCCGTAGGCAGTGGACTGAGATGGCGGACAGCGCCAGGCCCCAAAACAGAAAAAAAAGCACACACACACACAATACGCCTGCACCGGTTCGTCTTCTATTCGTGCACAGGGGAAATCCACATAGGGAAAAGGAGGCTCGGAGGTACTGGCGGTCTACAGAAAGAAAAGGTGACCGGAGCGGGGGGAAGGAACGCACTGGCATTAGACCCTTCACCTACCCTCAAGAACCCCTCCCCCCCCCCCAAACAGGCAAGCTCACTTTGGAAGAAATGAAGCAACTCAAAAAGAAGAGGGCAGATTTGCTACGAGAGAGCTCCTTCCTTCTATCCTTGCTACCGTAGGCACCAGTATTATGGAATTTACGGTGCCTTTTTCCAACAGTAGTAAGCCATGGACACAAGATATCCATTCTGGTCGCCACAACATCCTTTCGAATTCAAACTCCAAAAAAATAATCAACCCTATGGCCAGAAACATAAGTCTTGGTCCTCTTGGAACATGTGTGTGTGTGTGTGGTGGGGGGGGTCACCCCATGTTACATCTTCGACGCCACACGGGTCCTACCGGACCCGACTTAGGGCCAGAGGGACACAGTGGGGCCTAAAGGCCCGATCTTGGGGGTACTACAGGCCGTAAAGGCCTCATCTTGGACCAGAGCCGACGGGCAGGCCCAAACGACATTACCGTTTGGGCCTGGCGGCGCTCTTGAGGCTGCCGCCCGCCGGTTGGGGCTGAACCGTCAATCTTGACGGTTCAGGGCACGGCCAGGACTCGCAGCATAGAGGCCGGCCTCTGCCCCACCGGTACAAAAGTACCGGTCCAGCCTCATTCCGGGATCGAACCACCGGCACTCTAGCGGTGCGTTATGGTTAGCGCCAGAGCGCTAGCGCTATTCTTAGCGCAGGAGCACGACGAGCAGCGGCAGCAGCAGTATCGCAGCAGCGGCAGCAGCAGTATCGCAGCAGCGGCAGCGAGCGGAGCAGCAGCAGCGGCGACTGAGCAGATCGGCGGCCATAGCCGCCTGAGGTATCGGGAGCCGAAGGTTTTCTCCTCCCTCCCATCGCCAGTCCCCTCTCTCTCTCTCTCCTCCTCGACTCTCTTCTTCTTCTTCTTCTTCTTCTTCTTCTTCTTCTTCAGACTTCTTCTTCTTCTTCTTCAGATTGGAGACTTCATACTAGTTGGACAGAGCAGTGTTGGACTTCGGTGGTATGAGGCTGTGGTACTTACCGGATTCGAGACCTGGAGAGTGTTGGGGTTGGTACTCGGCAGCATCACAGTTCGGACACCGTTTACATTAGGAGTCTGTATCTCCGACATTGGTGACTTATTGTCCTCGACATTTTGATCTTGTTTGATGACATTTTGGACTACCATATCGGTGACCTATCGGATTCTATCTCGGTGACCTTCGGTGCTGTCTACCTCCCCCACCTCCTCTGTCTCTCCTCCCACCTTTCATCTGAGCATGTGTGTACGGGATCTGGGCATCGTCTATGCTTGGCCCAGACCCCACCATCTCACGATTGTATGTGTGCGGAGTGATATCTGTGTGAGTCAGTCTATGTGAGTCAGTCCGTTTATCAGACTTCCACTGCATACATGCTCATCCTATATTGGTTGATCTTTGGTTCTGCCCCATACTGGTTGATACTTTCACGAGTATGTGACAGTTTTGGTATCGGAGCAGACCATTTTACGGATCTGCTCACCAGGTAAGTCTGATTAGGAATTAGATTGCTTCTTCAATCTCCCAAATCAGCTCCGCATTACTATCGAGTTTCGAAGTTGCAATTTTTTTTCTTTTTTTTCGGTATTCTGTTTATTTCGGCATTTCCGTTTCAATTCGGTATTCGGACTTGTAATTCGGATTTCTGTTTTATTCCGGTATGCTGTTTAATTGGGTTCCGATAAATTGATACTAATCCGACATTCTGTTTAATTCAGATTTCTGATTATTAATTCGTGATGAGGGTTAAATCAGTACTCTGTTTAATTCGGCATTCTGATTTCACTTCGGTTTCCGTTTTTATAATCCAGCATTCTGATTTTAATCCTGTATTCCGTTTTCTAAATCGGCATTTCCGTTTTATTGCAGTGTGGGAAATTAGGGTTATGAAAATTTTTGGAAATTTGAACGTTTTGGAACCGTAAAACCGGAAATTCCGCGGAATCGCGGAAAATTAGGGTTGGACTCGGAAATTTTCGCGAATTTTTTTTTTTTTCCCTCTCCCTTGGTTGAGAAATGCCGAAAACGGACTTAGGCCTTTAAAAATCGGATTTCGACCGTGGAAATTCCCGAAATTTCACGTTTTTGAAAATTCGAGTGTTTTTCTTCTGATTTTTTCCGAAAATTTTTTGGCAAACTAATCCGAATCTGACCCTCAGAATTGCAACTTCCGGGTAGTTCACTAATTAACGGTGAGCTCCCGGACTAAAGGTGATCTCAACGGATACCTAATCTTGATACAATTCAAATTCGTTCATTATCATTATTGCAAATACTGTTTTATTGATTATCATTAAGAATCATTATTGCAAATATTGTTTTATTTGATTATCATTAAGAATTATTTCGTATTAATCATTAATTAAACTTTATTGATTAAATAATTCGTTATTATTTTCTTATTACGAATTTTTTAATTGTTTACGGGAAATTTTTTTTTTCTGTTTGATTAGGTGTCTACAGTCCATCAGTGGGAGAGGGACTGTATGTGAAGTGTTTGATTGTTCTATCCCTGTTCCCACTCTCCCTACCCTCCCCGTAATCTGTGACCACCGGGATGTCTCAAGTACCACATCAGCAAAAGCTGATGTCGATGGAACAGGACACCGGGGCACTGCCACGACGCAGTGCCAGGCTTGCAGTTCGTACACGCCCTGTGGTACCTCCAAGACCCAAGTATCAGCAACAGCGGCTCAGCAAGCGGACGACTACAGCGGCATCGAGTACAGCACTGACAGTACCGGTTACCACCGGAGTTCTTCCCGCATGTCCGGTCCAAGGGGCCCTTGAACCGTTGGCTGACTACCTTGGGCGGCTACARGTATTCACTGATGCCGTAGCTACCGCCAAGGYTCAGCAGGAGGCAGCAGAGGCAGAACGTCAGCGGCTGGCCAATGAGGCGGCAGCCCAAGCTCAGCAGACTGCTGAGGCTGACGCAGCGGCACGAGACAGACGGAATGCCGCCAGCACGGAGTCTCTGATTCAAAATGAGAATCAGTGGACAACGCTACTCCAAGGCATGTTCTTTGTGCCTACGGAAGCGCAGGCAGCTCCGACACAGGTGGACGTAGAGAGAAGTAACCTGGCTACCCTGATGTTGAGCATGATGAGGGGAGTAATGTGGAACAACAAACTGCTCCAGGCACACCTGCTCACGGAACGACAGCAACGACAAAAGCACCAACAAGAGGTGGCTGCTTTGACGGCCGCCGTCCGCGACGCAGCAACACAGCGGCAACAACAGCAACAACTGTTGAACTCCACTCTCGCACGCATCAACAGCATTGAGGCAACGGCCTCAGCAGCGCCAGGCTGCACGACAGACGCGACGAAGCAGCTCAATGAGCGCATCGATCACGTCGTCACCATCATTGGCGACCTAGGTGATTTCACTAGTCCGGCCACGATCAGCAGCACGGTGGCCGCCATCAAGACGAGCATCACCAAACTGCAGACAAGACCGGACGCTGCTACAAAGAATTACAAGATGCCGCACTTCGACATCAGCAAGTTCGACGACTACAACAAGTCGGACGCCTTGACATGGTGGCAACGTTTCCTCACGGAAGCAGCATGCTGCACTGTCCCGGCTGACGACATGATGAAGGCGCTCTACTTACAACTGATTGGAGGAGCGCAGGCCTGGATGAACCATCTGGCGGCTACCAAGAAATGCACCATCGCCGGACTCCACACGCACATCCCGTGGAAGGAGTTCGAGAAGCTATGGTTCACTCGATTCATGGTCCGCAACGTCGTGAAGGCGGCCATGAACGAGGTGTACACCTGCTCTCAAGGGAGTATGCCAACTCGAGACTGGACAACCAAGTGGCAAAAGATAGTGACCACGCCAGGCTTCGATTTGAGTTTTACTAACCAACTATCCGAGTTCTTCTCGCGATCGTGCGCAGGACTGTGAACCGCACTCGGCAACGGGTACGATTACGGCTCATTTCAGGCTATCCTGGATCGTGCGAACTAGGTCATCCAAACGGATGACAAGGCCGCAAACGAACGGCAGTCCCAACCGCATTATGTGGCTAAGCCAGGCTATCAACGACCGGCACATAACAATGCCGTGATTTCTGAAGAAACAGTCGATCTCCACGCTGCAGCAGCATCCTCGAGTGATGGAGGAATTGTAGCAGCGCTCCCGCCGAAGCGTCCCAAGAGAGTTCGGAAGAACAAGGCGACACAAGAGACGGCATCGACGGGAACTGGGCAGCAGCCATGGACGGCATACAAAACAACCAAGGAAGTATTTGACTTACGTCAACGGTACGGATATTGCCTATGGTGCAATAGTGTCGTACACACTACCGCACAATGCCCGGACAAGGGCAAGGCACGCGTACCCCGTCCAGCTCGGGAAACTGAGTTACGCAAGGAGGGGCGACGCCTCTCCTCACTCCGAGCCACGTGCACTTAGATTGCGTATGCGCAGCCTGTACACCTTCGGCAAGTGATCCGGTCAGTTCGCCACTGATTTCCGAGGACTCGACGCCTAGTCAAGACCTGAGGAGCTTGACCTGCTCACGAGAGAGGACTTCGCTTGGATGCCTCTACCCTCAACCGGAACCTTGCCAAGGCCGCATTGCAATGCCTTGATGGCAAATCTACGCTCCTATTTGCACACTACAGTAACAGCTCCGTTGACGGACGACGGGGTAGCGGTTGTCGATCTCCGCTCCTATCTTGCGAAGATTGACGGCGAGTACGCCACCCAAAGG